CTGTTCTGCAAGATGGTGCTGCGTCCAGGAACCTGCTCTCCTTTCTTGCCCTGGCCACCTTCCAGACCGGAGGACCTGGCCCACTGGGAGCACTGGGATCATTGATTTCCATATTGTCTACAATTTGCTCCACCCTGCGCACAGGAAGCAAAGGCTCGCCGGAGGCTTTTTCAGGAAGGAAGGAAAGAAGGAAGAGACAGAGAAAGCAAGCAAGCAAGCAAATTCTTTGTTCTTGCTGGAGAAAGAACAAATAAGAAAACAGCTTCCTTTGTTTTTGCTTTTCTCCTTTCCTGACTATCAGCTTTCTTTGGTTTTGCTTTCCTAGCACACTTTTATAGCTTTGACGTCGCCTCTGGGCTTAGGCAATGCAGTGCTCAACTTCATTTTTGCAAAGATGGAAACAAGAGGCCAGATTATTTGTTCTAGCTGCGGCTTCAGTGTATAATTTCAGTTCTGCCAAGTTTGTAATTTCGGGTTGAGCTTCTAGGGGATAAATTGGCGTGGGGGTGGGTGGAGAGAAAGTTTTGAAAGCTGAGCTTGTGATCAGAGATGGGGCAGAAATAAGTTCAGTGTGTATTTTACAGTGAATTTACCCAATCTGCATTTCTTGAATGAATGTGCGTGCCAGAGCACTATTATACTTCAAGATTTGCACTTTTCTGAATTCAGTGTGGCAAACCCCAATCAAAGAGAAGTGCATGTATCATGGGAAAGTAATTTAAACATATTAGGAAATGCAGTATGAAAAACATATTCTATTAGGTAAAGGTGCTTGCAAAAATGTAAACATTCAGCAAAATTATTAAAAATATGCTCAGATCTGGTGCACTGTAAACAAAATGTGTGTGATCTGCATGCCTGTTCAGAAAAAAGAGCAAACTGATGCAGAAACAGGCCGACTAGACGTGAAGGGAAGCCAAGCAGGCAGAGCTCACGACTGAGGGGGTGTCTTAAAGGCAGGAATGCTTTCTGTTTCCTAGAAGTTGTGCGAGCAAGGAAAATTATCTGATTAATAAGAATAATCAGCAAGCTATTTTAATTGGATTAGTAATTGTTATTCTTACCCAATCAAATTTAATAATAATTATTAAGCAGATGATGATCATGATCATGCCAGAACGCCTCGTTTTTCTAACCCTAACCCTAACCAGGGGCACACACCTAACCCTAAAATAGGGATCAAGTTCCATTGAAAATAATGCGATTTTTTAAAAGCCTTCTTTGAGAGGGTTTTTCGGCACAGCTCAACATTTCAGCCCATTCTAAGCGCATTCCAACCATCAAATCCATGCCAGGACACCTCGTTTCTCTAACCCTAACCCTAACCTGGGGCACATCCCTAACCCTAAAATAGGGATCAAGTTCCATTGAAAACAATGCGATTTTTTAAAAGCCTTCCTTAAGAGGGTTTTTCGGCACATCTCAACATTTCTGGCCATTCTAAGCGCATTCCAACCAACAGATCTATGCCAGGACACCTCGTTTCTCTAACCCTAACCCTTACCTGGGGCACACCCCTAACCCTAAAATAGGGATAAAGTTCCATTGAAAATAATGCGATTTTTTAAAAGCCTTCCTTGAGAGGGTTTTTCTGCACAGCTCAACATTTCTGCCCAATCTAAGCGCATTCCAACCATCAGATCCATGCCAGGACACCTCGTTTCTCTAACCCTAACCCTAACCTGGGGCACACCCCTAACCCTAAAACAGGGATCAAGTTCCATTGAAAATACTGTGATTTTTTAAAAGCCTTCTTTGAGAGGGTTTTTCGGCAAAGCTCAAC